CAGCGTGATTCACAGGAACAAACCAGAGTGGGTTTTGGTGTGCGATCAACACACCAACGAGGGTACGAGCGTTTCACCACCCTCGGTCCCATCCAGGTCCGACACACACAGGTGAGGCCATGATGGAAGTCGGTCCACCAACCGCAGAAATGCAAACCAGCACCACGTTCCTGTGCCTCTAACATCTCAATTTGATCAAATTATTTCTTTATCTAACTAACTGGCCAGAGAGAGCTGCTGGGCCGCGAAGGGAGCCTCTGTGGTCTGTGGACTACTCTGATCTGAAGACAATCAAGGCCCCAGTGACTCAGGCAGAGCTTCTCCCTTCTCCCTAAGTGCTGCCAAGAACTTGGATGGAGGGCCCGTTCCCGGAAGAGTCATCACCAGAGAATTACAAGGAGGATGGGCCAGCTGGTGGGCTGGGGGGCTACGAAGGGAAGTTGTGTCCCGGTATCTCTGCGGGGCAGGAAAGTACTTGTTTATCAAGCATTTGCGCTCCCATCTTCTTCCCAGCTCAGCATGGCTGCCTGCCTGCCCCGGGCCTCAGTCTTATGGGGCTCCCATACGTATGCCATTACATTTGTTTTTCTCCTGTTAATCTGTCTTATGTCTATTTAATTAACAGACCAGCCAAAGAACCTGGAAGGGTAGAGGAAAAATTGTCCTCCCCCAAAGGAGGAGAAATTGAATGGGATTTACTTAGAAAACAGAGATGCTCTGCGTTGAGGGGTCCCAGGGTACGTGACCAGGCGCGGGCAAGAAGAGCCTCCACGTCCACCCTGAACACGAAAGACGTTCCCTTGGCGCTCAGGCCCGTTTCTTCCATTTCCAAATTGAATCCATTCTTTTTTATTTATTTATTTTCTTAATTAAACATTTTTATGTTGACACAACTGCAGATACCCCCCATTTTCCCCTACTTTGCCCACCTCCGCCTCCCCCTCCCTTGGCCTTCACCACACCACTGTCCCTGTGCATGGGGAATGCATATATGTTCTTTAGCCAACCCCTTCACCTTTCTTACCCAGTCACCCACCCCCTCCCCAGGCACCCACCAGTCTGTTCCGTGTATCCATGCTTCTGGTTCCATTGTTCACCGAACTGTTTATATGCCCTACGATTTTGAGGCCGGTCTTTCTTTCCACCTCCTTGAAATGATCACTCAAAAAAACGCCATGGAAATGGTCTCTCCCACATACCGTAAAAATCAAAGGTTTATGTCTGGGGGAGCGCACATTGTTTCTGAACGCCTGCTGGAGCAGTCTGAAAAGCCACGACACTCCAAACGGTGACTCAGCTGATGTGCGGTTCTTGGTATTCGGTAATTGGAACAGCAAAACGAAGTCATCTAAGCAAGCGGTGTGTGTTTTGAAAAATAATAATCACACACCTCAGTGTTTTATCTGCCTCCTATACACGACAAAGTATATTCCGCAGGAAGTTCTTTCTGAGGTAAACAAGCCCCACCCCCTGAACTGTGCCTTGTTTTACAGTGTGCTCATATTCTAACTTCCTGTAACAAACAATTGAAAGAAAGGAAACCCTTTTTAGGCTGCCTACATAAACAAGCGAAGGACGGGCTAGTTTTCTAGTTGAACTGCTTTAATATGTGATTCAGTTCAACAGGCCCTCCAAAACACCCCATCTCCCACCCAGTTTCCCTTTCCGTGGAAAGGAAATAATGAAAATTAAATTGCATCTCCTTGGCTCAGTCTAAAGCAGGAGGTTTCTATTTACTGGCATGAACCAGGTAACAGAGACGTGCGTGGGAGAAAGCACACCTGGGCCTCAAAGGCATGACCCACTGCCCTCCGTCTGGGTGGGGAGGCCGGGCTCTGGGTCCTGGCCTTGGAGGCTGTCACCCCCTGCCCTCCGTCTGGGCACTGGGAGACCTGGCTCTGGGTCACTAGACCTCGGAAGCTGTCTGACCTCCAGAGCCCGGATTCTTCATGATGGAGAAGAAGAATCTTTCTTCCATGGGCCCTGGTGAGGATTAAGTGAAATTGTGCTGATAAAGGGCTTAGCAAAATGTTTTGTTACAACCGACATCTGCACCCCCCTCCTAGTTTTATTTTTCTCTGTAACACATATCACCAACCAATACATCAGACACCTTACACATCTGCTTAGGGTTTTTGGGGGGAGGGCTCCATCGCCCATTAGCGTACAAGCTCCATTAGGGTCTGTCATGCTCATGGGTGTCCCTGGAAAGAGCCTGGCACATAGCAGGTGCTCAAGCTACATTCACTGAATTACTTGCTCACCTGGTCTTGTCTGCTTACAACAGAGAGGGCATGTCCATGCTACTGGGCCAAGGTGATGGCCAAAGTGAGGATTCCCCCTGGCTGTACCCTCTACTGAATAAAAACAGCAGTACAACAGGAAATGGCTTCGAAGGGGAGGTGGGGAGAAGGAAGAAGGATCAGGCTGGGGTCAGAGATAATGTAAGACCTTCTCTCCATTCTGTTGTCTGGTCACGGACTCCAGTAATACAAACCACCTTTGTTTCCTTGACACGTCTAATGAAAATGTCAGATGAAAATTAAAACCAAGTGAAAATTAAAGAAAGCCTTCCAGCTATTAAAATCTTGTTAGAATCCCTCAAAAGTTAAATCCCTGCCCTAGCCGGTTTGGCTCAGTGGATAGAGCGTTGGCCTGCGAACTGAAAGGTCCCAGGTTCGATTCCGGTCAAGGGCACATGCCCAGGTTGTGGGCTCGATCCCCAGTGGGGGACGTGCAGGAGGCAGCCAATCCATGATTCTCTCTCATCATGGATGTTTCTATCTCTCTCTCGCTCTTCCTTCCTCTCTGAAATCAATAAAAATATATTTTAAAAAAAGTTAAATCCCTATAATGTCGCCCCAGAATAATTCCCTTACAGTGATATTTTTAAAATTAAAAGCCAAAACTATTAGGTTAGCTTTGTACATAGCCTAAGAAAATGTATCAATGCAAATGATCACTTCCAATTACCAGACTGAAGAATGAAAATGGTTGTGCTTAGCATTCCAAGCACTCTCCTTAGAAGTTTAGTGGTGACATTTCACTCTAGGGTCAGCTCCTTCCCATCGGGGCCTCATGGGAGTGGGCAGTGGTGTGAGCTCCCTTCCCCAAGGCACCTCCATCAGTCAACCCCCACAGAGTGCCCTGGGATACCAGGCTGGGGCCCCATCCAATCAAATGCAGGAAAATCCCTATCGACTTCCAACCTAGTGAATTCTGGGAAGTGCTGCCCAGATTCCCAGCTCCCTTGATTTTAATACAGACAAGCTCCCTGGGTGTCAGGAAGTCGGTGCACTGGGTAACACATTTCCTACCCTCCTGCCTCAGTTCCTCTGCAGGCAAAACACTCACCAGGAGCAGCAGCTTTCACAGCAGACAATTTGGCTGGAATAAATTCCCACCGTGAAGCCTGCTCACCACATGGATGCTACCCCTGCCCCTGGAGAGTAGAGTCCACAGGGTCTCTGACCCCTCTTCCCAACACACACACACACACACACACACACACACGAGCTCACCAGCCCCTCCTCACATCCCAGACTGTCTTGCCTTCCTCCCCTCACTGTGCTATTCTTTTAGGAATAACAGCTCCTCCCAGATTATCATTATCGATTAAAATTCAGCTCTCTGCCCCTCGTTAAGAACCCGACCCAAACCCCACCGTTTATGCTCACACTTTCCAGCTCTCACCGTGATCAGCTAAAGTACGAAAATAATGCCCATTACCAATCTATGAAAAACGAATGGTTCAGTTATTTATAGCAACGCCCAATAACTCCGCTGCTCTTATGAATAAACCCTCAGGATTCCCTCTGCCAGTCTTCCTCTAAAGAATATTTGAAGCCATGCTCAGAGCTGCCAGCATAAAGCCCAGAGAGGAAGTAGAAGTGGAGGATGAAGTGGAAGAGAGCAGAGAGCAGAAAGGGACACACGTCTGCATGACTCTCAGTACATGGGGAGAGGGCCACGATTTTATCCAGGAGACAGCAGTTCAGTTAAGGATTGTTTGTTTAGCGCTGGCTTTGTGCCGTGGCCCAAAGATATAAAGGCACAGATACAGCTCCCTGAATGGTGAGTGATTTCAACAGAAGGCGCTCACGGCTGTGGGATAGTCCATTCAGGATGATTATGATGATGATGATGATGATTATGATGATGATTATGATGATGATGATTATGATGATGATGATGATGATGGTGGTGGTGGTGGTGATGGTGATGGTGGGAGGGGGCACTCAGCACCAGGAGAGATGCTGACTGTGGCCTATGAGGTCAGGATGGGCTTCACGGAAGAAGATGACCCACCAGTATCAACCTTGGGTCCAAAAGATAGGTTTTCTCATCAACCCGGGTGCAGGGTAGTTAAACCCTGCAGCCACCTGTAAACCAGGGGTCAGCAACTAGGGCCCCTGGGCCACATCTGCTGTTTGTTTTCATCAATAAAGCTTTACTAAAACACAGCCACGTGCATTTGTTTGCTCTCTTCTATGAAGACTTTCAAGCTACAATGACAGGACTGAGTGGCTGTTACAGATGTCACACGTCCTGCAAGGCTTAGCAGTGGTTCTCAACCTTCTGGCCCTTTAAATACAGTTCCTCATGTTGTGACCCAACCATAAACTTATTTTCGTTGCTACTTCATAACTGTAATGTTGCTACTGTTATGAATCGTAATGTAAATATCTGATATGCAGGATGGTCTTAGGCGACCCCTGTGAAAGGGTCGTTTGACTGCCAAAGGGGTCGCGACCCACAGGTTGAGAACCTCTGGCTTAAAGTGTTTCCTACACGACCCTCTGTGGAAAAGCCGGCTGACCCCATCCCAGACCACCCTTTTTCTTCCTAGTGTTTCCAATAATTCATCCTTTCCCCCAGTTTTTTGTACCATCAAGTTTCCTACCGCAATGTCACCAAAACACAGGAAAAGAGAAAACATATTCTGTATGAAGTTTCATTACTAAAGGGAAAATTCAAAACAACCTCCCAACACACCAGAGAAGCAAAACAAGTTATTTGTCGTGCATTTAGAACACGATGGAGATCAGGGAGCTAAAGTGTACCGGTCTGAACATGAACTTGGCAGCTGAGAGCCCTCAGACCCAGGTCTGGCCCCAGGAGCTCACCTTTGACATCATTAAAGCTCGTTTCTGAAAACCCTTCACTCAGGTCGATCAAGGTCCCCTCGGACTTGCACCGGGGGAGGCCGCTGGCGTTGGCGGCTCGGATCCGCTGAGCTGCCATCCTGGAACTCTTCCTGGGTGAGCCGCTACGGTTCCATGTTCCTTCCTCCAGCTACTCCAGCGACTGCGGAAGCTTCTGCCTCAGGCAACCATGCTGCCCGCCGTGCCCGCGGTGCAATGCTTCCTCCTGAAAGCAGAGGAAGAAAACATTTCCCCTGAGCAAGTGGAACGTGGGTTAAAAAGTAACTTTATGGGAGGCGGGAAGCCTCTTTCTTCCAGAGCCCATTCCCATAAAGAGAGACTCGAGTCACTTCCTCTGCCCGGGGTCCATGCACCCGGCCCAGCAGTGTTCTGGCCGCTGTGGGTGCCCTCTCTTCCTGGGCACAGGGGGTTGTGAGACTGGCTCTAGCACCTGGCTCGCCCGTTCACTCGCCAGAGGAGGAAAAACGGAATCTGTGCAGTCCACACAGCTGGCTCCACGGTTTGGGAGAGGAGGGGTAGCTCTCCGGCTGCCCACAGGGGCTGGGTCCCTTGTCCGAACAGCCTCGGCAGTGACTCCGGCCCCTCCCCTGGGGCAGGGCTTAGCACACACAGTGCCTCTGCCCACACTCTCCTTAAAGCCTCTCGGGACACTCAATAAACAAACAATCATAAATAAAACATGCAAGTGGCCACTTGTACATAGAAGGTATTTTCATGTAATTTCTGCAGGAGAAACCCTCCATTTACTGAGGCGCGGTGTCGTTACTAAGTGAGCACAGGCGTCACACCTGAGGCCTCGGCTTTTTTTGGGGAGGCACACACGGGCTTTTAGGGGGTTCTGGAGACACATGAGATGTCTGGCCATGAGCAGACCTTCTCCAGGACTCGGGAAAAGGAGCAGCTAGGAGCCTATTTCAAAGAAGTAACTTTCATCTGCTCTCCAGCGGGAACAGGCAGACACACCACAGCGGACCACAGCTGGCCACAGCTGGCCTGCATCCTGAGGGCAGGCGAATTTCATCCCAGTGTAACTGGACTCATGCAACCCAGTCTGAGATCCCTTGTTTCTCTATCCAAAGACGCCCTCAAACGCAGCTTCTGACCCAGGTGTCACCTTTACTAATCAGAGGGAGCAAGAGGGGCCCGACACCGCCCTCTGCAGCCCCTGGGCCATGGCGACGACTTAGCCCATCCCCTGACCCCCTTCCCCAAGGTTCTGCATGCGGTGGGTGCAGCGAGCAGCCCCAGGTTTGCATGCACGCTGGGCATGACCTTGAGTTCAATATTTAGCTCCACTAAGCCTCAGTTTTCCTATCTGTACCAGGGGGTAAGGAGGGCACTGTCTCGAGAATTCATGATCCCCGTGCAGCGCTTGGAACAAGCAGCTCCGTGGCTATGATCCCTGCAGCTGGGGCACCAGCAGCCCCAGTCCTGGTGTGGGGTTTAGTCTTTGCCACGGAGACCCCGGGGGCCACAGAAGGTTCCTGATTGAGAAAGAGACCTTTGGCTACAGATGAGAGAAATGGAAGCATCGATGCCGCTACCTTTGGAAATTACAGGTTAGGGGGTGGAATGCAGGTGGATGGCAAGGAGAGGAGACATCGGGACCAGCGCCCCCCCCCCCCACACCCTCAAAGTCCCACACAGAGGGCCATGTCCTCAGCAGACGAGGTGGGTGAAGTCGGAGGGGGCTGAGTTACCGGGGCTAGGAGAGTGCTGGCCATAGCTGGCTGGGCACCTACAGACACTGAGACAGCTTTCTAGGGAGCACCAGGGAGCACCTGCAGGTCGGCCAGACGAAACGAGAGAAGCCCTTCAGAGTGACCACATTCTTAGCTTCCTTATCCTCACCGCCCAGGAGGCAGCCGGGTGGAATCAGGGCGAAGGGGTGGGCAGAACGAATCGCAGACCCCTGGCATTTTTGGAAACTGAGCATCGTTTTTGTTTATTATTGATGGGAGGACAGAGTTATGACCCAGAGCCAGGGAGAGACAGAAAGTGTTAGCAGTTGTATAAAGAGATCTGCAGTCCTTTTTAAAACACAAAGATACCCTCACAGAGGCTGCCATTCAAGGCACAGATAAGCCACTGACTGTGCAGCCCTCCCCACTTATCAGCCGGAGCGCAGCCCAGGCACTAAATCTGACTCCCTGGTGACCAGAAGCGCAGCCTGCACGCTGAGGTCAATGCAGCCATTCACACGGTCTTCCACGGGAGGGGGCGTTTTTGTCCCGTGGTGCTCGATGCCCCCAGGAAAGTCCAGAATGGCGACTTTTCCGCCAGTGGCAGTGGGGGACGGTCCTTAGACAGAATCCTGACACCCATCAGCACCTTCGTGGTGAGCCTGGGGCACCATCACCATTGGAGATTTTTTGTTGTTGTTGCTGTGGTTGGTCCTCACCAGAGAATATTTTTGCATTGATTTCAGAGAGAGTGGAAGGGAGGGGGAGAGACAGAGAGAGAAACAGCGATGTGAGAGAGGCACTTGGTTGGTTGCCTCCCACACAGGGCTGTGGATGGAGCCTGCAACTGAGAATCGAACGTGTGACCCTTCAGTCTGTAGGCCGATGCTCTATCAAGCTGGAGCCAAACCAGCGAGGGCCAGAGATGGGCACAGAAAGGGCAGCTGGCCCTGCTGGACCAAGCCTGGAAGGCTCCCTCCACCTGGCACCTCCCCGATCAGACACAGTGAGGTGAGGGTTCAGAGGGGAGCCCTGCAGCTCCACCTACTCCAGAGCCAGGCGCAGAAGG